TAAACACTGTGAAGTCAACAGGCACTCAGAAGCCCTGAAAGGGAGAATAAGCAGTATTTTTTCAAGTTCACTAGTTCAGGGATAAAAAAAAACCCTGAGACGGAAAAACAACAAACCCGTTTTCTTTGATGGAAAGATGTTTGTTAAGGGACATTGCCAACAAACCGCTGTAAAGGTAAACTGTAAGATTGAAGACCAACAGTAAGACAGATCAAGGAAACCAGTCTGTACTGCTAGGTAATGAGAAATGCCTTTGTGGGGCAGCACGGGACTTCACCAAGGCTGCCTACTTGCAAGAAAAGTATTCAGGAGAAATATATGCAGATAGAAAGCACGAGATATGTACATGCTAACCTTGTCATTAAGATGAGAAAGATTTTTATAGTATGTGTCAAAACCTATAATCCCACTTAATTATAAACAGTATACAACTGACCTCAAGAGTTAAACTATAAACAAGAAGAAAATATTGCACCCCGATTTCAAAGTCACCCCCAAGCCATTTGTTACTTGAAGCCAGTAAGTCAAGAAACACAGATCCCCATATATTTTCTGTTGCTTGATGCCAGTACAGAATTTCTCAGCTACAAGTATTTACTAGACCAGGTCACTGAATTCTCTGGGACCTGGAAACTGCTCTCAGAAGCAGCATGCATCTGACCTTCCACCTCAAGTCCCTGAGCTGCTGCTGGACATCAAACAGCTCTACTGCTTCTACTTTTATGAGTCATACCCCAGCAGGGTCCTGTTCCTTGCTACGTGCTGTGACAAGGGTCCCGACTACACCGCCTTCCTTAAGCCTATTGTGCATACAGAAGTCGCACCGCTGAATGAAGACGCCGTGCTGATTTTCAATGCTCTTTAACGCACAGGCAGGTCAAGCTAGCTAGATCAAACATAAGCTCACCCATACTGTTCGCTAATCTGAGCCTTCAGAATAGCGGAAGAAAATTGCAGTACTCCCAGGTTTTTGAAACATCCAAAGCATTAAGAAGCCTGCTACATCTGAAAGACAGGTATCAAGTGCCACGAGCCACACTTGGAGAAAAGTATAGCACAAATGGTGACAGCAAGTCAAAGCAGACTTCGGTCTAGTCTAAAAATCTAATCCTAAAGGTTAAAATAGGTTTCACAGCCACTATACTTAAGTCTATGATCAGCTACAGGTTTAGAACTACTAGCAACTAAACAAGTTTTAAGAGCGACCTTTAGGCTCTGACCTAAAGATCTATAAATTACTACTGTGGAGGGATGATCTAGTTTGAAATCAGATTATCTTTAAACTAACTAGAAAGCAATCCTCATGCTTATGCGAGGCCCTCATGTTAGCCACACTCGCTCAAGAGCAGGGCAGGACTCTAAAGAACAGATGTTGATAGCACGTGTCCTGTGCTATTTTAACATCAAATTTCTTTATATTATTTATGTTGCTTCCTTAAGAGGATAATAGTTAAGCCAAGCTACCCCAGCCCCACTTCAGCGCAACTGGGCATCCAGTTACGTGCTTAGTTTACGAGAACGGGAGTAGCACGTTCTCAGATTTGCTGATGTGTTACTTCATCATAAAGCCTCAGGAAAAGAGCAGCTACGGAGGAAGGACCCATCACCTTTCCCAGCAAGGCATTCTCCAGTGCGCTTATCCTGACGAAGAGACACCTCAAACTGTCACAGCTTGATTTGTGATAGCTTTCCCTCTAACAGAACATTGTGTTAGGGCATTTGTTCCACCCAGGGATATGCGGTTTTATGGAAGGACTGCTGTTCCAATTCTCTAAATGGACTCTGCAGACTTCAGGCTTTTGCCCTAGATTTAGGTCACTAGTAATTGGACATGTGTGGAAAGTGCACAGGCTCAGTTCAGCGTTGCTTAATTAATTTCTTAGTCTGTTGATTTGGCAGTCATCCCACAAAACAGAACAGTTGGATATTTAAACTTGTATTGAAGAATGCATTATGACAATAGCAAGCCTCCCCAAAATAAGCCCAACTCTTTTGGTACTAGTGAAAAAAATGTTTTAAATTGCCTGGAGTAGAGAGTGAAATCAGTTTTAGTTGTTCAGGTGAGACTATTGGCTTGGTTAATTAAAAGGAATTATTTCTCTTTTATAGCATTCAGATTGGGAAAAAGATCAAGCACAGCACAAAACACAGAAACCTAAAGACTTTACCAAGACCTTCTCAAGATGAAACACAGAATTGGCAGGTGTCAAAGTCTTGCAGCCAATGGAGCAGAATCACCTACAGCAAGTTTCTGTCCAGGACATTACATTCCCAACCAACTGCTGAGTGCACCAACTACAAGTCAATGCTGCAGCTTGAAAGACAAAGAGTTCTGCACATTATTTTGAGCTGCACCAGGCACCTTTCGGTATTGTAACTGCTCTTGAAGCAGCATGTTCATGATGAAGAAAAGCTCATCCACTGAAATAAGAATTAACGTTCTTTCTGCTCCCAGAAGGCTTCTGACAGTTTTTTTTAGTCAGCTTGCTTGATGTTTTTTAAACCCTTCTTGAAGGACACAGAACAGCCCCACTGTGCTGAGTCCCGGCCATCCTGCCAAGCTTTCTGTGGGAGCTCACTTCGCTACCATCTATTTACTTCACCAGAGGTCCCATGTGCTTTAGGTAGTTTTGGCTTAAGCCTAAACAGCAAATGAGCAGAGACAGCTGCCTCTCCACAGGAACTTTTCTCACTGGTGACCCTGGGGGGGCTGAGTTGGCAGAGCTATCTGGGCTTTGTAAAACAGCCTTTAAAACTCTATTCACACATTAACTGGAGTAAGAGATTTGCTTCAGATCAGGAAGTACTGTGGTTTTTTGATGAAGAAACAGGTTCTGTGCTTGAGCAGACAGTTTCATGGCATTTTAAAGCTGACCTAACATGCCTACCTTGATTGAAAATAAAAAGGCATCCCAATACCTTTTGCCAAGAAGTGAACTCTGACAATAAAAAAAGCCTGAAGACTGAAATAAAGTCACTTTACCAGTACTGAAAGGGAACAGACCTTCTCTTTAAAAGCCTTGTATAGAGGGGTATTCAGATGGTTGTTAAAGTAAAAACAACATACAACAATATTTGCAAAACAGCTTAATATAATCTTTTGGGTCTATAAACTCTAAACAATAAATATGGAAAGTGTACATGGCACACCAGAGCAGCTAAATATTAAAACAAGTAAGTACAAATTGATAACACTTACCTATAGTGTCAGTGATAAACTTGTCACTACAGTGATACAACACAAGTTTAATATACAATATGTTTTTCCAAAGGAAAACTACAGAAACAAGTTGATACAGAAGGTGAGGGAGAGGGGGAGACGATAAACAACAAGGCACAAAAAACCTCTCTTGCTGCAACCCTGTAAGGCACCACTGTGCAAACATGAAACTATCAATCAAAGCCTGTAGTGGAGAAATTCTAAACATGTTTAAATGATTTGATAATGTACTTTAAAGATGACACTATGTTCATCCTTTGGGAATAAAAATACTTATGAACCTTTATTTACACTTACAGGCTTTTAAAAAACAAGTTAGTGAAACACGTGAATTCATACTCAAACAGAGGAGTCACAGTTAATTTCCCCCAGACAGCTTCACAAGTGCAACTCGATCATGACCTATACTGGCCTTCTTGGGAGTCCTGGATCCAATATTGTGCAGAGGGAAATGCTGCCAACTATGTCCAATTGTGTGTGGCACACCAGTAATTTTAACAAAACAGACTTCAGAGATTGGGACAAGAATAAACTCATTTTCACCTGTAACCAAAAGCTATTTAAGTCCAGAGATAAAAGGCCAGCAGCATTAATCTAACATCATACCTACAGATCTTAATACCCAAGGTTATAATTTATACCTCTAAGAAGTGGCATTTGTCTTCCCTATTCTGTTATCTGCTCAGAAAATCCATCATGGGACAGTCTTCAGCAAAAAACCTTCTCCCTTACTAGAAGGTCACAGATACAAAATTAAGCTCACAAACTAAGTCTCCCCATTTTTCTTATGTCCCACGATCTCTACTACATCCTGCTAGAAGAAGTTTTTGTCCTCTCTCCAATGACATAAAAGTCTCCAGACTGTACTGAAATTACTTAAAATATGCACAGATTGGAAAAGGTTTTTTTACAAGGTAAGAAGGGTGCTTCTCTAAAAACTAAAAAATTTCTTCTAATGAAAGATTCAGGAGGCACACAGTTTCTCATGAGCTTTGGACACACAAATGACTTTTTTTGTACTTGGGAACAATGCCAGTAGACTACACTTCCAAAGCTTCTGCTTCCATTCTTGCAACTTGGAACAACTGCACAGCACATAGTAAAAAATCTGAATGAACTTGACATTCAGTTATGGGCTAAGTGTTGTTTTCTTACACGACCTATTTTGCTTTTTACTCTACACTTACATACCTTGCCACAAATCAAAACATCTAAGGTTGGACATAGCCTGTAGCTTCAATGATCCTCAATCTACTGAGCTGCCAGAGAAGAAAATCAGGCCAACCCATTACATTTTAAATAAGAGGAACTGGAAAAGAGAACAGTTTTCAGTGCTATGTTAACATTCATATAGCTATTTGCCAAAAGGCTGTGCCAGCTTAGGCATGCTTCACTCCTTATATTCAGTCCTGTTTTAAGGAAATAATGATTTGGGCAAATACAATGTAAACAGATCCAGGTAGACTGCAATAGTAAAGGACAGTATCATTGATCCGACAGGTTTAAGGCCAATTATTTGTGATTTGAAATATAGCGTACTTTCCATGGCACTTAATACACTGAAAGTTAGTACCGGGTGACATTAAACAAAGGTATACATATTCATATGTGATATATACATGTAGCTTCAGTTCCTAAAATAGAAAGTTCAAGTTTTCTTGCCCAAATAAAACCAATCCATGAAAGACCACCTGTGTTTTCCTATATTAAATAAAGTAATATTACGGTTTTAATCAATTTAGTGCAAACTGACTTGAGTCCAAAGACATACTATTCCTTGATTTTTAGTCACTACTTACCAAATGCCCCTATTTCTTTTAAAACACAACTAAACTTTTTTTTTTTTCTTAAAAGAACAGCAAACACTTGACAACTAGCATGCTGTTCTAGTCTACGTTAACAAAACTTGCTGATATACAGATCATGTTTTGGTCATGCAGCACAGACCCATCCTCAAAATAATCCAGCTCTTAATCAGTCTAGAAGAGGAGCACAGCGCTGGATTTTAACTAGCAGGTCATCCTGGCCACTCCGTACTCCAAGCTGACAACAGCAGGCTCAGCTTTCGAGAACTCTTCGACGAATTCAGTGTAGCGATTGTCTGCTGTGTTGCTGCCCTCTATAGTTCTTACAGCATCATTCACAGGGATCACCGGCTGCTCCTTCTTGAAGCATGGAGGGGTTTTCAGCACCACGGGTGCGGGATGAGCAGACTGCTGATGTTCCTTCACAAGGACTGCATCCAACTGCCCACTCCTCTGCTTTATTTTCTGAAATGCAGAGAACAATTACAAACTGTGAGCATGACTGCTTTACTGAAAATACTCTGCTTTGAAAGGAAGTGAATCCACTTCTTTTGCTGGCCAACTTGGCATCTGCAGAACCCTGCATTACATACCCTAGGTTAGATATCTAACAGTTACTAAATGTTAGGCCATTGGAGAAGACGTTTTTCCCCACAGTTTACAGCAGGTGCTACAAGCACCGTGTGCTTAAAATTTGCAGATGAGCAGAAGGCAGAAATGTTGCCTGTCAATGTCCATAGAGAAGGAGAGGTCCTTCCAGGCTTGCCCCTTGTTTGGTTGCTCCAACCAGGGGTGTATGTGTGTGTACACGCACGCACACACACACAACTCTCCATGAATACAGGCAGAGGAAGACAGGCCTTGGTACTATTAGAAAGCAGGGAGCTTACAGTAGACCATGAGTCTCTTCAGAGCTCAGGTATGAAACTGCTCTTTGTCTTTATGTCCTTCCTAAAAACCTTCTAAAGAACTTTTCCTTTAGATCTGAAAAATGCCAACAGTTTAAGTGCAGGAATACAATAAAAGATATAAACTAGAAAGCAGGACTGGACAAAAGGACCTATCTGCAAGCACTTAGCAAGAGAAGAAGCAAGAGTTGGATTAAGGTTTGTTGTTTGAATTTAAAAAACCCACAACAATCTCACCCAGTAAGTGGGAGCTTGAACTAGTTAACTGAACTGATTTTTTGTGATATGTATGTGCTCTATTACAACTGAGACTGATCCCAGAAGACTTTGATGTCTCTTGACATCAGCATTTTGAAGATGGAAACAACAGTAAGAAATCTTCATGTAGACTTTTCAACAACTACATCTAAAGTGAGAAATGTGGGCTCAGGTGAAGTTAACACCTTGGAACAAGGTTCTAGAAAATTCAAAACTGAGATTACATCACGCTTATTCTTCAGCTTGCTTCAGCTTGAGTTTTCATCTTGCTGCTTCAATTGTATAAAAACTTTTAAATTCTACAAGTAAGATTTGAAACAGTTTAAGTGACCTGCATTCATTATATTACAGTAGGATAAAAATCTTTCCTCCTAGAAAAGCTGTACTTCCCCTGCCCACCCCCAACATAACAGAGTTGTGTTACCATTCCTGGCCACACAAAGAAGTAAACTTGATAATTAGAAGACTTTTGCATTACCTAAAAGGTATTATTCTGAAGTTTCAGCACTTTAACTGACTACAATATAGTAACAATTAAAAGCCACTGATTAAGTCACACTAGAATAGAGTGAGATACACTGGTCACAGAATCACTGGTCACAGAATCACAGAATGTCAGGGGTTGGAAGGGACCTCAAAAGATCATCTAGTCCAACCCCCCCTGCCAGAGCAGGACCACCTAGAGCAGATCAGGTCAGTCTTTGCTGGCTGTTCACTGTTGCACCTAGTAGAAGTCTTTTACAGTAATCTGGTCCCTGGATTTAGCCCCGTCTTCAAATAAGCATTACAGTGTATATGCCCCATAATTACAGTGACTTACAACAGCATGCACCTGTATATGAAGTTAAAAGAACAATACTTACTGCTTCCATTTTAGTAGCTATAATGGAAATAAAACATTTTCAGTCTCCTTCGTTTAGCAACACAGCTACAGCTATGATGGGTACCTTGTTATCTAAGGTAGGTTTCACATAAATTTAACCTACTTCAAGCCATCTTCAGTAATGCTTTGACAGTAAGAGCACTTTTACATAATACAGCTCATCAGTAAAGCAAAATAAATTGTGCCTAAGAGCTTTGCATTGGCTGCATAGTCTGGCATTCAGCATAGAAGCATACAGTGAAAGTCAAAGTCAACAGTACATAGAAAAAGTGCTAGGCCATACAGCAGAGACGTTCATGTGAAAGCTAGCAGCATTATTACAGACTATAAATGTGAATTTGAAGAACAAATTACACACTTATTTTGTAATACTTACAGCTTCCAGTTCTTTAATATCTTCCTCCAGTTGTTTATTTTGTTCACTCATGTTCATTATAAGATTGAACACAGATTGCCTGGGATGCATGCTTCGATCAAACTGATGGTACATATTTCTCCAGAACCTGTATGAAGCAGACAGCTTTAACTATACAGGATAAAGACAGAATTGGAGAAGAGACACTGTATATAATTTAAACTTACTTAAAATTGAATGATACCGTATTAGGTTCCAAAAGAGTTAGCTCTGGAGAAAAGTCTGGATTATACAGAGGATTCTGATATTTCTTTCGTTCCTCCAGAAGGAATGGCCACAAGGAATAAGTTTTCTCTTTTAATCTTAAAGCAAAGAGAGATCAAGGTCAAGACATTGACTGCAAGCAAAAAAACACACAGAAGCTGTTCAATTCAGCATAATAAAATCGATCTTTTTTTTAAAAAAAGTTCCCAGAAATACTTATAAATCTTCATTTAAAAGCTCTTAGTAAAATCAACTTCTTCCTGGCATATGCTAATGTGACAATAACACAACTGTCAGTTTTAGAAGTACTACTGCTTACGATGTGCAATCTTTGCCTAGTTGCAATAAATGCTTTTAAAGTACAGTTTGAGACAAAGATTAACTGATGAAAACTTTACAGAAGTTTTCCAACTGAAAGCATTAGGAGACATCCTATTAATACTTCTAACTGACAGTAATTAGTCTTGAGCAGGCAAGAATTTTAAGGTTACCTAAAAATAGATTGAGGGAGGGAATGAAGTCATACTTCCAAACTTATCTATTTGGGGT